TTCACCACCGTTGGTTTATGTCTATACTATTGTAAATAAAATACGAGCAGCACCACCTACCTGCGAAGTCTGAACAATTTTGGATGAGTTTTTCACGAAGTCTCAAGTCTTACCTACTGACATTAAAAAAATCATATGAATGGGAAAGTACAATACCTAAACTTTTATTTTTTTAATTTTAAGTTTGAAGAATATATTTGTCAAATATTAAGGGACTGTTTACTGAAGGTTCTTTCAGAATCTTAATAGTTGACTTGGAAACAAATATTTCAGTGCATAAGAACTAATCTTACGGAATATTAGTTTAAGGGAACCACCCCCCCATTATCGATTTTAATTTTTCAAGATTTTCAATGGGCTGGTAAATCAATACCAATCCTTGTTAAGGTTTGTAACTTTGCACACATATATCTGAAGATTTAAAAAGGGAGAAAAATAATTTACAAAAATTGTTTGTTGTTTTTTTTTGTAATTAAAGAAAAGTCCTTATTTTTGATGGCGGGCATGATAACTCCACACTGGAACATCGGAATCCGAAAATTCCAACGGTGTTAGAAAGAGTACATGCCTGGCTCTTTAGGCTCTCTAGGATTATTGGCTTCGCTCTAAAATTAACAAAATGGCGGACCTTTGAAAAAGTATTTTTGGAAAGTCGCCGATTTTTGACCAAGAACCAAGTTAAAAAATAAGGAAGATCTTCACCGATCGGCTTTATCCTAGTTCATACGATAGCTATACACTCACAGAGAAACGTGTAAAAATTTGGGTTATTCGTTTTTGAGTTATCGTGCCCGCCATTCGCAAAAGAGAAAAACGGGTTTAAAGTTTGAGAAGCCCTTTAGCCGTCACTTGATGCTGACACAATAAATCGGCTATGTCTTCAAGAGTTCTTGAGATCTTGAATGAAATCGAAAAAAATTTTGACCCCGAGAATGGTGGGGGGTGTCCCCCTTAAGAACTATTAAAGATTTTTATGGTATGTAACTATGCTAGCGATCACAGCGAATTTTCCCACATTTGGTTCATGACTATATTACGGTACATAAAATACGAACAACACCACCTACCTGTGAAGTCTGAAAAATATTGGATTTGTTTTTCATGAAGTCCTAAGTCTTGCCTACTTACATAAAAAATACTGGATTTTAATAAAAAATGTATTTTTAAATATTTCAGAACATAAGAACTAACCTTGCTGAATATTTATTTAAGAAATATTAAAAACAAATTTATGGTATGTGACTATGCTAGTGATAACAGGGTGATAACTTCATTTTCCCACAGTTGGTTCAAGTCTATACTACGGGTAATAAAATACTAACAGCATCATCTATCCGCAAAGTCCAAACTAATTTGGATTAGTTTCTCATGAAGTCCCAAATTATACCTACTGACTTTATAATAGTGTGTGTATATTTTACCTTTTTTCGTTAACCCAGTGAGTTTAAATTGTCAATTTTGTATATATGTGAAATAAAACCTCATAAAGTAGGTTAACCCGGTATAATGCTCTAATGTAAATACCGTTTAATTAGATTAGTTTTTTTTTAATTTCAGGGTCGTACGCTTTGTTTTTAAAAGAATATTTTTGAGAGACTTTCATAAACCTAAGCGTGGATTTTAAAAATAATATGACCATCAATTGGTGGATTTTTAAAGAATATTTTTCAAGGACTATCACTACCTTAAGCTATACTTTTTTAAACAATATTTTTCAAGGACTATAATTTCCGTAAGCGATACTTTTTATACCCTACACAACCATATTGTCAGTGTATTATAGCTTTGTGTAGCCTCAAAAGTTTGTAACGCCGCGAAATATTGGTCCCAGACCCACCATTAAGTATACCGATCGTCATATCTCGACTAGCTGAGTCGATCTAGACATGTGGTTCCGTCCGTCTGTCCATTATAATTTGTAAACACGATACAGGTCACAATCTTCACGAAATTTTGCATGTAGGATGGGTTCTGGCCAATGAAGACTCTTATTGCTTTTGGAAAAGATCGGTTAATATTTAGGGAATGAAATGGACCAAAAACTTTATTTTTGTCGGCTTTTCTGGTCGCTTCTGAGGCCGCAATTATGGCCCAAACACCGCGAATTTTTGCATGGAAAAGGGGATCGGGCCAAAAAAAAAGCCTGCCTGTTTTGATAAAGATCGGTCAATATTTAGTGGGTCAAATGGACCCTGACTTTTGTGTGAAAAATGACAAAATTTGTATTCTATACCGTATATATTAACTCCTGAAGATTAAAGACCCCAGATGTTGATAGTATATCCAAGAGGAGTGGTTGACCTTTAAATTGACATCAATTGTGTTGTCGTATGTACTCGAATGCGGGAGTTACACTTAAATATTTACAGGTGCTTACGTATTCATATCTTATTTAGTAACCCATTACCACACTACAAGTCAGAAATTTTCCATGAGGATCCAGGTATGGTCAAGGACAACGCCTTTAATTTTCGGTGATGATCAGATAATAATATTGGGATGAAGTGGTCCGAAGACTTAATTTGTTGGTTTTTTTTTTAATCGATCTTTAGGCCACAATTGAAAGCCGAGCATCACAACACAACCCATGGTGTAGGGAATCTGGACAAGTAATTAGAAGGGCTGTACAGAATATTAGTTATATTTGTTGACTTCTGGTCGGTCAAGAGGGTGCAAATTTCGTGAAATATTGCTCAGAATAAAGAACTACAGAAAATTATATTTTCGTGGAAGTTGTGAAGGGTTTCATATGGTCGGTCCCGTTCGACTATACTGCTCTGCTCACTGGTTTATAAAATATGGTTTATAGAATATCGCCAGCATAAGAGTGGATTTTAAAGAATATTTTTCAAGAACTATCACTACAATAATAGTAGATTTTTTCAAAAATATTTTTCAAAAGCTTTCACTACCTTAAGTGTAGATTTTTAAAGAATATTTTTCAAGGACTATCACTACCATAAGCATGGATTTGTTTAACAAATAATTTTCCGAGAACTATCACTACCATAAGAGTGGTTTTTATGGAATAGTTTTTAAGGACTATCACTACCATAAGCATGGATTTGTTAAAGAATATTTTTCAAGATTTATCGTCTCCATAAAAGTGGATTTAAAAAAAAATCGATACCATATTATTAGAGCTTTATAGCTTTTATATTATGTTTCTTTGCTAGCGATCACAGGGTGATAACTCAATTTAACTTCAGTTGGTTCATGTCTATACTATGCTTAGTGCTGCAAATAGCGGCAGTTAACGATGACAGGGTGACAACTCAATTCAACTTTAGTTGGTTCATGTCTACACTATGCTTAGTGCTGCAAATAACGGCAAAAACTTTTATTTTATTATATTTTTAATGCAGCCCCAAATCTACCCTACTGACATTTAAAAAAGAGGATTGTATCACATGAGTTGAATTTACATCAATTGATATACTTATAATTTTCGATGTATTATTTAATTTTTTTTTTAATTATTTGGTTAACGTTTTGTATATTTTTTATCAAGGGCTACCCATTATGTGTTAAAAAAGTTTACATATTTTATAATTTTATTTCAATAAAAAATCTTACAATCTAATTTCTTACACTTAATAAATACATTTATAACTTATATAATTATTAAAAACTCTTATCTTTCCAAACATAAACATCGTCCTATGAACCATTTCAATTGGAGATGTGATATTTTTGCTCCCATCAAACGCCATCTGAGAGCCACATATGATAACACTGTAAAAACGGTATAGAAACCCAATAACCATATCACGGATTGTGTATAATCTACATCTAAACTGCCAACTAATTTTAATATTCTTTTTGGTTTTGCCATTAAACAGAAAAATTCCGTTTCGGGACAGATTAAATCGGGACGATTGAATTTTAGTAGCGCAGCCAAAAGGCCTTCCAGCGAGTGGCGTAAACAGCTACAATTCATTACAATTTTTTGAAATATATTCAAATGATCACGTTCGGTGGCATAGTTGGCGAGAATAATGAATACCGCAATGGAGGCGGGACCTAAGAAGAAGGCGTGCTATAATATAAAAAAAATTGTTATTTTAAAAATATTAAATTGTTTTTCTCAAAGAAACTCACCTCAAGCTTCATTCTAGCTCCAAACAGTAAACCCCAACTGGAAGCCACCATCGACGTGAGAAATATTATTCCCGTGAATAATACAAAACGAAAAAATTGCATCGGCTGATAGGTGGTGAAATAGAGAATAGCCGAGGCTGATACGGACATAACCATAACGGTAACCACATGCGATGTTATCAGAGCCATAAAATATGAACTTAAACAATACCATTGATTATAGATTTGCCTCTGCAGATATTTCATTTCCGGACCAGCTGTAAAACGAAGAGAAAATATTAAATGGAATATATTCAGATTAAAAAACACATGGAACACATACTTGATGCAATAACTGGACTCATTGCTGTAAAGACACATACCACCACCGATAACATGCTGAAGTGATAGTTGTACATTCCAAAATAGGCATCCCGGCCGACACCAATGTACGCCACACCAACCAATGCTGCTAGGAATAGATGAGCAAATACCCTTAAACTAATGTTGATCTAGAAATAAAAAATAATAATTTTTAAGAAGAATTTAAATGGAATATTTTTTAGGTACAATTATGGATCTTATCAAAAATGATTTAATAAATAATATTTTTATTTTACTATCAAACCGCTTTGGAAGGACCACTAGATGACCATTATGCCATATTTTAAACAAACTACCTTTTTAATCCGACCTTTTAGTGAGAGTTTAAAAAAAATATATTTTTTACGAATATCAGCTGCAACGGATAATTATTTCAAGGACTATTAAAGTCTTTATGGTATATAGATTTGCTAGCGATCACAGGGCGCCACATATATTTCATTATATTAGGTTCTTATCAACGATATGTGAAAAAATAAGCATACTTAGTACATCCTTTATGGTGTGTGGATTTGCTAGTGATCACAGGGTGTTAACTATATTGCACTACAGTAGATTTTTGTCAAGGCTACGGGTAAATAGACATCCAGTGCAATCTAGCGGCAAATATCTTAACTATTTTATTAGTTTATTTTTAATAAAGCCCCAAATACAGCCTACGAACATTTTGGAGAGTGCAGTGTGAGATGAAAAAACTGCAACCAACTCCAGGCTGCTGTCATTTCTAAGCCACTCGTCCGACAGCTTTTAACATTATTCTCATTATATTGTTTACAGGCGTACAAAAACATTTTGGTGAGAATTTTCCACAAAAAAAGTTATTCGTGATAGAATACAAGCGTCATAATGTGATTTCTTTATATTTGGCTGGTAAACCACAGGTGACTATCGTTAGAGCACTCCAGCATTTAAATATGAATAAATTTTTTGTGTCTCGTACCATCGCTCGTTACTGTGATACTGGTAGCGTAGCCCGACGTCAAGGAAGTGGACGGAAGAAAACAGCAACTTCAGCAGAAATGGTTCGAAAAGTAAAGAAGCGACTTGATCGAAACCCGCGTCGCATTGGCCGAAAAAATGGCTCGTGAGCTGAACTTATCGCAATATTCCATTCGAAAAATATTGAAAAATGAGCTCGGGTTAAAGCCAATGAAATTCAAAAAAGTGCAAGAAATTACACTGCAACAAGAAGAAAATAGACTCAAAATAGCTAAAGAGTTGCCTCGCATGGCCGAAAGTGGTGCACTGCCGAATTTGGTTTTCTCCGATGAGAAAACATTCGTTTTCCAGCAGTTTGCAAACAAACAAAATGATCGTGTTTACTTGCCAATGAGGTTAGCTGAAAATGTGCACCTTCGGTGTGACACAGAACTCAAGCGCCGGTCATGGTGATGGTGTAGGCCGCCATAACAGCCGATGGTCGTTCTCCGCTCGTATTAATCGACCGTAACATCAGAATAAATGCCGAATATTATCGCGAAAATATTCTGGAGGGTGTATTAAAGCCTTGGGCACTCAAACATTTTGGCCACAGACCTTGGACATTCCAACAGGACTTAACACCATCGCGTCACGCAAGAATGATTACAAAATGAGGTTCCTAGCTTCATTTCCAGCGCACAATGGCCAACAAAACCAATACGTTGGACTATTGTGTCTGAAGTATTTTGGAAAGCAAGGCACTAAAAATATCAAAGTGTCGTTCACCTCAAGCAAGCGCTTCGTCGCGATTGGGCCAAAAAACCCAGAGCAACAATCGGTCAGCTTCTGACGGCTACATTGGCCGTTTGAGGGTCATAATTCGTGCCAAAGGTGACCAATTCGAACAAATCTAAACTTATTCAAATATTTGATTCAATTAAAAAAAAATTAAAATTACTTAATTAAAAAAATGTAAAAATTATGGCCTTTGACTTTGTTGTATTTGTTATCTCAGGTGTTCAAAAAAGACGCATCCGCAATTTTTTTTACAATGAAAGCAAGCATTTCTAATTTCTACATTGTAAAAAATTGCGGATGGGTCTTTTGTGAACACCTGTTACTATATGAAGGAGTTTTCCAGATCGAAACAAAATTTAACTAGTAGTGTTCATAACAGAGATGGAAGTTTCCAAAACGCTTCTTAGACTAAGAACTTTCTGAACTGCCCTCGTATGTCTTTATAATCCATTTAAAGAAATTATACACTTACCTTATCTCTGCATATATTTATTAATATTCTTTGCAACAGCCATTTATACTGTAGCCACCATGAAATTTTAACGCATTCCTTTAATTCCATATCGGATTCCGGTTCCAGATTTGATGCAGGTATTGTTAATTTCACACAGCCATTTTCGGTTGGAGTATTCGGCAGATTTTTCTCACGAAGTGGCTGCCATTTGAGTATTTTACCATTATCTACGGCTTTTACCATTTGATCGTGAATATTACCATAGGCATGAGTGGTAGCTTCAATAACTGAAAATAGAGCGGGAATATAAAAGGATTTATATGAATAATAGATTGATATTAGTGCTATGGCAAGATCTATTAATAAGGTCACTCAGCTAGCAAAAGTCAAATGTTTTTTCTCATGCCTAATGTCAAAAATTTGAACTTTGTTTACATTTTCATAATGGTGAATCACAATAGTGAATTTTGACAGCACCTTGAGAGGTAGCTGATATCTAGCTGGTGTATCAGTATGATCTTATTACTATACCTTGTGCTATGATTAAACGATCAGCTGATTGGCATTTAAATTATCTCTAAGTATGTCTAAACGGCTATGGTGTGTTTCTCGATATCGTTAATCGAGTCAATTATTAAGTGTATTAAATGACATTTACATTAGAACATTTTACCCCGTTAACCTACTTGGAGTAGGTTAACGGGGGATTTATTTGACATATATACAATGGAATTGACAATTTAAACCCACTGGGTTGACTAAATCCGGTACAGTGTAAACGTACTATTATCTCGATTTAATTGGTAAACCGAGCTGAATTCACCTCGATTTGCCATACAATATGAAATCAATATCTCGATTTGCTCTAAATCCTATGCTAAATCGAGATAATTTCAAATACAACCCTATTTTTGTCTCAAAAAATAATCGTTTTCCTTAAAATATGCTTTAAAATTAGTTGATATTCAAAATGAATGCCTAACAAAAATATGTCAGCTGTTGAAAAATTTTCTTGCTTGCATTCATAATAAATATTACTATAATTTAGAACGACAAAGGTTTTTATGCATTTCTGAGTTAATAGAGAGTAATTCCTAACAGAATTTTGAAGATATTGATTGAAAAATTGCCACAGAAATCATGGAAGCAGTGAAATCTGCATGCATACGTAAACAAATAACAGCTGACAAATCAACTTCACTTCATTAATACTGGGCTACGTTTAGACTACCAAATCTACTCAATCTCAAATGTCAATTCCATTACGTATACGTCACGTTAATCCAATTTACAAATCCAGTGGATTATAGTTGACGTATACGCTATGGAATTGACATTTGAGATCGAGTGGATTTCGTAAATCTAAACGTACCTCTAATCTAAATAGTTAGGATTTAATAAATGGATTTACAAATCGAGTCAATTTAGAAAGCATAGTCTAAACGAGACTTAAGCCGTCTTTAAGTTCACGAACGAATCAGTTCAATTGAACGATTCACTGAAAAGACCTAATGAACTATTAACAAATCAACAATTTCCACAGAAAGCAATCAGACATATCTACAGAGTTGTATTTTTATATACCTTCCATATTTAATACACAAATACTTACGAAAATCAGCTGGATTATAATTCATCGGACATTTCAAACCAAATAATTCCAAATATTGAACTATATTTTGAACGGCGCCCTGATAGACACATTGTCCCTCGGCCATTGTGTAAATATTGTCAATTAATTGCAGCAAACGGAATGATGGCGAATGAAGGGTACAAATGACAGTGTGGCCACTTTGGGCCAACTTCTTCAACTGCAACAGGCACTGATAAGCTGTTGATTCATCTAGGCCTCTGAAAACGATAGGAATATATGTTTTGTTTAAGTTTTACGAACGGAATTCCTCTTGAACTTACGTTGTTGGTTCATCGAGAAATATCACCACCGGTTTATTTATTAATTCCACTGCAATACACACCCGTTTCAGTTCACCACCCGATAAATTTGCTATCCTTGTGTTGGCCTGCTCCTGTAGACCGAAAAATTCCAACAGCGTCGAAATGGTGGCATAACGTTGTTCTCGATTACAGCAGGGATTCAATTTGAATTTCGATGCCATCATCATTGTTTCGACAACCGTGAAATGTGGTGAAATATAATCATCTTGTAAGACATAACGTGATATTTTACGAAATTTACCACGATTTAGTGGTCGATCGTCTATGAAAATATTATCCGATTTACGCTTGATTCTAAAAAAAAGAGAAAGGGGAGGAAAAAGATTAAGAAGTTTGGTAAATTATAATGTAAAATGATAATTTAATTATTAACGATATCTGCAAATTATAATATAACGCATCGTACAATAATACAAGGGCGGTGAAGTTGAGGTGAGTAACAAAAATGCAGCCATGTAGGTAGTGGCTTCTTCTGTCACATCCATTTAGTACATTTACAGCCTGTTTTTGTAAATGTAAAATGTCCATTCGTTCGTCGAAAAAACGAACGATTACTCATTTTGGTATTCGTATTTTTTTGGTTTTTGTTATACAAAACGGTGCGTTATTTACGAACAAAAATGTCAAAAACAAACGAAGAGAAAATACCATTCGTTTAAAAAAAATAATAAAGAAAACTATTTTTTCATTACAATTTGTGTGTTGTTAGTGAAAAGAACGCAACAAATATGGAAAATACTGATGAAATATATAAAAAGAAATGGTTTGTAAAAAATTATATATCCCTATGAAATGTAAAAAATTATATTGAATTGTTTGAACCCCTAGCAACAAAAGGACAACGATTGCCCAATTCCAAAAATTGGTTGATCTCATGGAACTTTACCCACAATTAGCAACTGGCCGTCTTGTTTTCGGATCCAATAAATTTGAAGTGGATAACAAGTGGAATAATGTAGCTGTATCATTAAATGCCATAGGTATTCTCCTTTGGGGAATATTTTGCTTTTCTTTATAATTAAAATTAATTGCAATCGTACCAAACATTTTGAATTTTCTATTTTGACACTTTTTATGTAAAAAAAAAACTGTTTGTAAACAATAAACAGAGTTACCCTCATTTTGCAATAATTCTATTGGAAAATTTGCAACAAGATACCAAAAGAAACACTTTGGCACTAATGGTTAAAAACGAATGAAAAAGCTCAATCGTTTCTAGACGAAAGCTTTTACAATTATTACAAAAACCAAATTTTCGACGTATACGTTTTAATACGAACGATACGTGTGACTGCCGGAACAAATTACAAAAACAGGCTGTTAGCGCAGCTGATGACTTGATTAACTGTCAAAGTGGCTGATGCATACACCTTATTCAATACACCTTGGGTAGTAATTGGTCTGTTCCCGTTCTGCAAGAATCTACTAATTTTTACTACGATAACGAATTTTCCTTTGTGATATCGAAGAAAATAGTAAAATATAGTTCATTCTTGCAGTACGGGAACAGACCAAATAACTACTATTGTTTACTTTACCACTGCGATTCAATTTCAGATAAACATTAAATGGGTTCAATGGACCCGCAATTTTTTGATACAATTAAAAAATGTATACCCGTGTACAATTTTTTTATTAATTTCTTTATTACTTCCCTTATGATAATTTAAATGTTGACAAGTCTGGGAGATTATCATGAAAAGAGTTATCAATCGTCGGCACCGTTGCATTGTTTAAAATAAAAACATTTAAATTATTCGCAGTAATATTTTTATTAGCTAAATAATTCAGATTAAGTCATAAATAATTATTTTTTTAATTGCGTGAATATATACTATTCAGAAGGTGATTGATTACTTTTATTGACGCCATTGTTTAGGAAGCTGAAGCTATTTTTATGACAAATAACAGTGCAGATGATTGGAAAATACGACACAAATAGCTGTTATCGAGTATGGAAATGATATAAATCATGGCCTATAAATAAGGTCACCAAGATAGCAATCGAAATCGGAAAACAGCTGTTTTTTCTCAAGTCTAATGTCAAAAATTTCGACTTTGGGTACGTTTTCATAATGGAAGTCAATTCACAATAATGCATTTTGACAGCAAACTTGAGAGGTATCGATAATCAGCTGGTCTCCCTTGGTGACCTTATTTATAGGCCATGATATAAATCAAGATCTTTTAATAAGGACACCCACCTAGCAAAAGTCAGCTGTTTTTTCGTTTACGTCAATTCACAATAATGGATTTTTACAGCAAATTGCAGATGCAACTGATATCCAGGTCCAGGACCTTATTAAAAGGCCTTGCTATAATGTTGTTAGGCTACGTTTGAACTTACTTAATCCACTAATCCTAAACGTCAATTCCATTGCGTATACGTCACATAAATCCTGTTCACAAATCCAGGAAAATATTTTCATTTAAATTTTGAAAGCTGAATACTGTCAAAGGCAAATTTATGAAAAAATTGGAAACATATGACTGCATGAGACTACCTTGTATAATTATGCCATAATATGAATAGTTAAATAACAATTGTTTGTATGCTTTTTTGACATAATGGAGAGTATTTCCTATTAACTATATGAGAATGTTGATTGAACGTAAACAAATAACAGCTGACTGTCAACCTTAAAAACATTTTAATACTACTAGTCGAAACAGCTGGGAATTTGTACCCTGAACTAGAAATAGAGTCAATTTAGAAGACATATGGACATATATGTATGAAAATATTTGAATTGAAAATTAAAGAAAATGATGGAAAGGCAAAAGTGATACAATTGTTAATTCTGTTAATTGCTAATTTAGAGGTGTTTAATAAAAAACAGATTATATTGATTAAAGCAAAAATAATGGTAATGTTTTGTTTATAGCTTATATCATACGAAAAATACATATGCAGGTTTGAACGCAAAAACAAAGTCTTATAGTACGTTTACATTTAACCGGGTTTCGTTAACGCAGTGGGTTTCAATTGTCAATTCCTTTGCGTATATGTCAAATAAATCCTCATAAAGTTGGTTAACCCGGTAAAAAGTTCTAATGTACATGCCGTTTTAAGAGACGTTTAGATTTACGCAATCCACTCTATCTGAAATGTCAATTCCATTGTTTATACGTAAAATATAATCCACTGGATTTGTGAATAGGATTAACGTGATATATACGCAATGGAATTGACGTTTGGGATCCAATGGGTTTAGTAGTCTAAACGTACGCTGCTAATATGTGACATACATAAGGAATTACATATGGATGTAAAAAGTGACAGCATATATGTAAAAAACATATTGTGTAAAAGCACATTTAGTATAGATTTCGTTTTATTAACACAAGAACATGATGCAATAATAAGGTGATGTATCACAACAAAAATCTTTGTTTTTTGTCTCGACAATCTGTCAAACTTTTCCTTATAATATTTCAAATGGTTGGCAACACTACACATCGAATTCAAGTAGAAATTGCCCACTTTGACAGTTAATCGAGACATCAGCTGCGCTAAATGGACTACCCATGGCACAATGAATAGGTAGTCCATTTAGCGCAGCTGATGTCTTGATTAACTGTCAAAGTGGGTAATTTCTACTTGAATTCAATGTGCAGTGTTGCCAACCATTTGAAATATTATATGGAAATTTTTGACAGATAACCGAGACAAAAACAAAGGTTTTTGTTTTGATACATCACCTTATTATTGCATCATGGGACTATCCATTCATTGTGACATGCACAAGACTTATTACGTAAGTTAAATCGCAAGTTAGCATCTAAAAGCGCATTTAGATTATGCCTTCCAAATCGACTCTATTTGTAAATTGAGATATCAAATCCAAAGTGTTTAGGCTAGCATTATACGTATACGTACACATTTCACGCATTCCTGATTTCTGTGGCCGAAAGACGATATTTTCATAATTCAGACAATATTTTCATAATATTGGTGGGAGTTGCTCTCCGATAGGTCAGAAATTGAGGCCGATAGGTCAGAAAAACTGTAGTCTAAACGGGCCTTTAAGAGGCTGTAACGTAACCGCTACATTTCACACCACCTTATTATATACCCCTCGTTAATATAATACTACAATACCTACATTTAAGCAACTCACTTTGCAATTATAATAACTAGATATCTGACTTCAATGAACAGACATGGGGATATTGTTGAGATATGGGGAAGTAATTCTCATTCACTTTGTGTTGTCGTACAGATAAGTGTTCCAGTTTTCGTCGGCAGAAATTGTCGAGTGCTGGAGTTAGACCAAGTACGAGCGAAACCGACTTGTGGCAGTGTCCGCAGTCGTAGTACCTTGTACCGAACATAGCCGAAGCCTTCGACCTGCGATTCGTTCGCTTCCGCGACTCGTTCGCTTCCTGCGATTCGTTCGCTTCCGCGATTCGTTCGCTTCCGCGATTCGTTCGCTTCCTGCGATTCGTTCGCTTCCGCGATTCGTTCGCTTCCTGCGATTCGTTCGCTTCCGCGACTCGTTCGCTTCCTGCGATTCGTTCGCTTCCGCGACTCGTTCGCTTCCTGCGATCCGTTCGCTTCTATATAACTCTTCTCGTTTCAGAAGGAGTTTGAACGAAGGGCCCCACCGACTACATCAACCTAAGCAGACTACATCAACCTGAGCCGACTACATCAACCTGAGCGGACTACTACAATTCCGAGTCGACTACTACAACCCGAGTCGACTACATCAACCCGAGCCGACTACACCAATCCGAGCCGACTACATCAACCCGAGCCGACTACTTCAACCCGAGCCGATTTCATCAACCCGAGCCGACTACTACAAACCGAGTCTACTAATTAACCCGAGCCGACTACATCAACCCGAGTCGACTACTTCAACCCGAGCCGACTACATCAACCCGAGCCGACTACTTCAACCCGAGGCGATTTCATCAACCTGAGCCGACTACTACAATTCCGAGTCGACTACATCAACCCGAGCCGACTACACCAATCCGAGCCGACTACATCAACCCGAGTCGACTGCATCAACCCGAGCCGGCTACATGAACCCGAGCCGACTACTTCAACCCGAGCCGACTACTACAATCCGAGTCGACTAATTCAACCCGAGCCGACTACATCAACCCGAGTCGACTACTTCAACCCGAGCCGACTACAACAATCCGAGTCGACTACTTCAACCCGAGCCGACTACATCAACCCGAGTCGACTACTACAACCCGAGCCGACTATTTAAACCTACACAACCGAAGCCGACTATACAAATGCAGCTGAGTGACACAATCGGAGCCTACTGGCTATAATTACAAGCCGATTACAGTAATCCCACCAGCCCGAAGGAACGAGTCCCAACACACCGAAACGACAATCAACGAATTAATAACTCCATCGTATTGAAGATCCCGCATGTTACTCTCTATCTAAACACAGAAGTATTACAATAAAGAATTTAACTTTTACCACCCGTGTTTTTTAACTTAAGGTTTGTGGGTCCTTGAGTTGACCCTGGCTGCGACTGAGCTTACTTCAGCCTTAGACAAAACCACTCGTTATAAGGCTTAAGATGTTATCAGGATCAACAAAATAAACAATATTATTTAATTTGTAGGAACCTATGAAATAATTCGAAGAAACGGAAAAAATTATGTACTATTGGTTTCCCTTTAAAATAGAACTTCCCAATTTCAGACAGGCATAACAAATATTGTGTATAAGGTCTATATAGCTTACCTATATCCCGCCAACAGATTAATAAGCGTTGTTTTTCCACATCCAGATGGTCCAATGATGGCTGACAATTCTCCAGCACGAAATTCACCACTTAAACCTTTTAAAATTTGTTTCTGAGCTTTTTTGAAAACAAAATGATGAAAAATAATATTATTTTTTATACCAGACGTATTAATAATTGTATACACATTTTCAATTATATTTATTATAATGTTATTCAGAAATCCGATTATTTTGTTGTTTTTTCGTACATATACAATTTGTTGTAATTTTTTTTTATTTATTTTTATTCTATATTTAGAATTTTCGTCTTCTTATTGGCAACTCACATGAATCATTCAATCAAAATAATACGATGAGATTAAACAAAAAATAAAAGTGAAAATATAAACATTCAATTGTTTGTATATTCCAATACAATGTGCGGGGGTAATCTGATAAGATAAAGAGGCTCGTTTATGTATAAAAAAAAGCATTAATTTCAATTTTACTTCAAGTTATAATTGAACAACAAATACTAGTTAGCACGTTTTTATTACTTTTTTTTTTGCAATTTACAACTTACAATTGCACTTAAAAATGTCAATGAAAAAACTAGCATTCTTTTTTCAATAATTCATATTAGAAACGGGTTTTCTCAATGAAAATTAAACGAATGGCTTCATACTTTCAGTCAGCTTTTTTCCGTTCTTTATCGGAAATCTAATCATTATGATTAAAATCAATTACCGGTTCAAAATACACGACATTGAAAATTCATCGACCGATTTAAAATGAAATTTTTATTTGCGGGGCTAAAAGCTGTTCTGATATATGTATAATCATGTGGAAGGTGAAGAAATACAAAATAACATATTTAATAAATGCATAGCAAGTGAACACATTGTGTTAAAATTTAATTACTATTATTATAAGTCAATTAAAACTAGATTTGCAAATGACTATGAATATCAAAAAAAAAAAAAAAACTCATTAAAATGTTGATGTCATAACGAAAAAAAGTTCAATAATATCGATATTACTATATATATATATATATATATATATATTATATAGATATATAAATTTGTAACATTAACAGATGTGGTTTTTGGGTCAGAGACAAGGAAAACTAGTGTATTAACGGAATCAGAATCAGAAATTACTGGTAAATGCAAATCAAACATAAAGTTCAACGGCATAATTATACAAGGTACATAGTCTCATGCACTCATATGTTTTAAATTTTTATCAAAAATTTAAAATGAAAATTACGGCAAAATTTTAATGAAAATACCTTCCTTCGAAATGTAGCAAAAATTGCTAAATAATCTATATATCTATACTAATAAAAGAGTAAAGTGATTGACAGACTGATTTAAAGATTCATCAACGCCCAGACTAGGGATACGTAGACGAGCGCAAAAGTCGACTTTTAGACTTTCCGATTTTTGCCTCGATTATTAGACTTTTCGATTTTTGCCTTTGACTAAAAAGTCGACTTTTCGATCATTCGATTTTGTCAAAACTGTTTAAAATCGATTTTCGACTTTTACTGACTTCTGCAAAATCGATTAAAAATTTGATTTTTTATATGAATTATTGTTAACAGATAATGTAAAGTTTCGGAGAGTGCAATTTTTGGGCAATTTGAGCTTTGTGATAAAAAAAACAAGTATTTATGAAAAAATCGAAAGTCGATCTTGAAAAGTCGACTTTACGATTTCCTCATAGATCAAAAGTCGATTTCGACTTTTAGACTTTTCAATACAAAAAGTCGATTAATCGATTAGTCGAAAGTCGATTTACTTATCCCTAGCCCAGACGAAACGGCTAATGCCATGTTCTGACGGGCATTCGAACAACGTAGTTCGCTCTCAGAATTACGTACATGAATTAACCCGTTCATACAACACTATTCTTAATTCATGTCATCAGAGTTTTTTATTTCAAACTTTTTGTTTCTTGTTTTACACCAAATTTCTAACATATTTGCATGAATCACATATGGATCTAAATAGAAAAATTAATTCTCTTTCTCCTGACTATAGTATGGACCCATATCTATATACTTTTAATTCATCATTTCCATTTTTTCTGAAAATATTGTTGTTTTCATCCATTTTTATATTTTCTAAATTCAAATGTCACATATAAACATTTGGAGAATTTTTTGTTTGAGTTTCCCCAAATTTGTTTCTTCTTTTGTACGCTAATTAGAACCAAGAGGAAAGAAATTCATATTGCATTATGTAGATAACAAAATGTACATCCTGCTGCATATATAAAAACTAGACAATTTTTTACTTTTCATTCATCATTTTCAATTTTACTAAAAAAGTTTGAAAATTTTATAAATATTTTCAAGCTGTCAAAATTAATTTATTTTCGATAAATGCTCTCAATTGTTAGGGATGGGACAAATTTCTTGGTTATTCAGAGAGTGATTCGAATTGAACTACGTACAAAAATCGGTGTTCGCTCAGAAAATTTTGTATGGGGAACTAAGTAATTACTTCATAATTAAGGGTCGAACAACGAATGAGAGAGCGAACAACGCTCGTCTGTACATGGCATAAAGCTAGAATCTTGAAATTTTGGGTGAGGGTCACTCTTGGTCCAAATGTG